ACACACAATCTGTCTGTGAACAAAACACAAAGTCTATAATGCCGTTGTGGTCTCAACTTTGCTCTATGGGCAGGAAACCCAGACCTTAGAAACCTTGTATGTTTCCAACAACCGCTGGGCCTCAAAGGGCAGGACTGGGTGCCCAATGCAGAAGTCTTGGTTTGGTTGGTATCAAGGCTCACCTTGTAGAGAAATCTCTGCATTAAGCATCTTCGCATAATTGTGTATCATTTTCATATGATTTTGTATTAAGTCTTTCCATATATAACCTCTATTTTCATGTAACTTTGTATCAAGCCCTTTGATGTAGAAACTTTGTATTGAGCCTTGGTATAATGTTATAGCCCCTAAGGATAGTTAAGGTAGAAGAAAAATGTCATTTCACTAGGAGTAGAATAAGATCTCCCCCCTTTTAATTAACTGCCCTGTTGAATGAATGAGATGTGAATGAGGAAGGCGTGGAAGGCCAGCTCCTCCAGACAGCTGCAACAGTTGGAGAGGGGATGGAAGACAGAGCCAAGAACAATAAGTCTTGTCAAGTGGGCTCACTAAAGAAGATCGGACATATTGACGGCCTTGGGAATTAGGAGCGAGCACCTTCTTTTGAAAACACCCTCTCTGAAAATAAATGTGGCAGCATTAAAACATCGCCCAGAAGGAAGCATCCCAGATGACCAGCTGACACAGACGCAGATTTTGCATCTGGGACAGATTTGCATGAGAGGGAAGCTGCTATAAATGTGAGGTGTCTTGCGAAGGACCCCGGGTCTCATCTTGTCAACATGGGAGCATCGAGCTGGACCGACAGAAGCCCGGCTCCACCCCTCCCCCATCTAACTCCCCTGGCCAGTGAAGTTAAGGGGAGCAACTAGTTGGTAACAACACCAAGACGGGGCGTGCTTCTGTGTGAGTGCGAGTGCATGAGTGTAATATCGATCATATGCGTCTGATGCAGTGTGGATTGACACGTTGATTGCCAGTAAATGAGGCGCTTTGCCGTATCCCCCCGACAAGACCCTGTGCCATACTTTAAGTGCAACAACCTGATTTGCACCCAACTGCGAAGAAATGGCCGCGTAATTCACAGGCTGGAGACCTGTCTATCTTCCACATGAAGCTCTGGCAGGCGTGCGGGCGGAGGGCGGATGGAATTCTTGGAAGAGGCTCTGAAACGAAACTCGCACGAGGTGAATATTTCTGCTTCGATCTTCGCGTGGCCAGCAAGTGCGGGCACCGCAGGGCGACACGCCGCAGCTGGGTGGCGGGCTCTTGGTGCTCCGTGCGGTCAGCGTTGTTCTCCCCGAATTGGTCTGGGGAGCCGTGCGAAGACCCATGAGTACAAACAGCGATTGTCCACGCTGTCCTTGAAATCCGGGGTGACGGGGATGGGACCCAGAACGATGGGCAGCCAGCTGGCAGTGCAGCCTAGGGGGGATTGCGCCAGGCCAAAGGGGAAGGGAGGGATGCCCTGGCGCAGGCAGCTGCATTCCCTGGAACAACAGCCAGGTGAGGGATCCCCCTGGACTGGGACCCAGACAATGGGAAACCCCCACCCCGCAGGAATGCGCCTGGCTATTGTTCCAGCAGAGCGAGAGAATCTGTGGAGCAGGCAGCCAGGGCCACCCGCAGAGCTGCGGGGAAGCAGGGCTGGGATCCCAGGGGCTGCGGGCCAGGAGTGGGGGCACCCATTTCAGCGCTGCCGGTGCCCCTCTCTCCAAACCGGCAGACCCCTGTTAGCCCAGCCCTGAGCGCCCCCCCAGCCCTGCCAGTGCCCCTCACTCCCGACCCGCAGCCCCTGCTAGCCCAGCCCTGGGCGCCCCCCCAGCCCTGCCAGTGCCCCTCACTCCCGACCCGCAGCCCCTGCTAGCCCAGCCCTGGCCCCCCCCCAGCCCTGCCAGTGCCCCTCACTCCCGACCCCCAGCCCCCTGCTAGCCCAGCCCTGCCCCCAACCTCACCCAGCTCTGCGGGTGGCCCTGGCTGCCTGCCCCACAGATTCTCTCGCTCTGCTGGAACAATAGCCAGGCGCATTCCTGCGGGGTGGGGGTTTCCCATTGTCTGGGTCCCAGTCCAGGGGGATCCCTCACCTGGCTGTTGTTCCAGGGAATGCAGCTGCCTGTGCCAGGGCATCCCTCCCTTCCCCTTTGGCCTGGCGCAATCCCCCCCCGCCCCCACCCGGGGCTACTCTCCCTGCTACCTGCTCATTGTTCTAGGAGCCAGCAACTCTTTGGGGTCTAGTGGCCTGAGCCGGGGGTGGGAGCCAGGACTCCTGGGTTCTGTCCCTGGCTCTGGGAAGGCAGTGGGGGCTGGTGGCTAGAGTGGGGGGGGGCGGGCTGGGAGCCAGGACTCCTGGGTTCTATCCCTGGCTCTGGGAGGGGAGTAGGGGCTAGGGGTCAGAGGAAAGGGGATTGGGAGTCAGGACTCCTGGGGTCTATTTTCAGCTCTGGCTACTATTAATATGGCCAGGCCTTTTGGGGCCCGTGCACTGGGTAGGTCTATATAAGGTCTGGTGCTGGGCAAGGTGACCGTCTGTCCTCCTTGCTATTGTCCCATCCTCCCGCTTTGTTACCCAGCGATCGAGTGACGGGGGGGAGGGGGGCGTGTGGTGTGGGAATGCGGGGGGGGGGGCGTCCTTTGCATCTAGGAGGCTAAAATTATACCAGTGGGAGGGAGGGGGGAAGAAAAAGGCAGAGAGAATTAACAAAGAACGGGACAGAGGGGGAAGGCGAGACGGAAGAGCCAGGGAGCAAGAGAGAGTGGATGGAAGGAAAGGGACAGAAAGTAGGGAGCGGGAAAGAAAGAATAAAAGAGCTGGGGATACACGTAGAGTGTGAACGAATATGGGAGAGAGAAGGAGAAAATCGCTGTCATGTCTCTCTCCCCCCCTTGGCTCTGTCCCTGGTTCACGCTCTGGCAAAGTGCCTACGGGCCAGAGCAGGCAGCTCCGAAGGCCCAGGGGTGCTGGTGGGGGGGGGGGGTCTCTAGCAAGTGCAGGGTTAATGCCTGGGAGCTCCCAGCACTTGGACATTGTCCCCCCCTCCCCTCCATGCCCTGAGCCATGCGGCCAGGATTCCAGCCAGACACCTGCTCCTGGCTTTGTCTCCCACCCCCAGCGGCCACCTGTTTGTTGTCCATCTGAGCACGGCACAGGGGGAAGGGAACGGATCACACAGCAGCGATGGAACCCAGGAGTCCTGGCTCTCAGCCCCCCCCACCCCGACCCCACTCCCCTCCCAGAGCCGGGCCTGGAACCCAGGAGTCCTGGCTCCCAGCCCCCCAGTGCTCTCACTCACCAGACCCCACTCCCCTCCCAGACCCGGGCCTGGAACCCAGGAGTCCTGGAGTCCAGTTCTATGCTTTGTTGTGAAAGCCCAGGATAGGGTAGATATTTATGGAGAAATATTTCCATGGAAACTTAAGCTCTCAGGCACAATCCCATAATATTCCTGATGCTGATACAGGACCAACCAAGATCCTTCACTGCCCCCCCTGCCCCACATCCCAGCACAACTACATGGGATGTTAGACAGCACCCTATACACCGGGGGGGGGGGGAGGACTGGGCTAGCAGGGGCTGTGGGTCAGAAGTGAGGGGCACCGGCAGGGCTGGGCTAGCAGGGGGCTGCGGGTCAGGATTGAGGGGGGCTGGCGTAATGGGGTGTCCGTGTTCCTGTCCCTCCTCCGCTGGGACCCTCCGTCCTTCCGCTCTGGAATCCCAACCCTCCGGCCCCGGGATATTTTGGACCCCCCCTCCCCCGCCCCGAACCTGTTCCCATTCTTCATCGTTCCAGGACAATGACGAGAGCTTCCAATTGTTCCGTGGGGGGGGGGAGGGGGCTCTGCCCATATTGGGCAGGAGCCCCCAGCCAGGGCGGGGAGCAGGCTATATAATGGGGAACCCACCTCGGACGCCCGTCCACAGCCCCCCATTTGTGTCGGTGTGAGGTACGCATCGGGGGCACTGGCAACGTTAGAGCTCTGGAGTGGGGATGCGCCCTGGGGAAGCGGGGGCAGGCCTCTGGTGGGGGTAAGGGGGAAGGGGAGTGTGGAGGCTCCCTGGGGAGCATGGGGGGAAGGGGAATTGGGGATTCCCCTGAGGGGCTCCTAGGGGTGGGGAAAGGGGCTGGAGGGCGCTAGCAGTGTTATGGGGCTGATGGGGGGCTCCCTGGGGAATTTGGGAGGAAGAGGGTGGGGGGACCTGGGGTACAGAGGGGTTGGGGGCTCTGTGGGGATGTGTGGTGCTGGAATAGGGAGGGGGAGTCAGGGTGAGATTGAAGGGGGGGCTGGAGTTGTGGGGGTCTATGAGGTTTTGTGTTTGTGTCGTTGTGTATGTTTACGTGCGTGTGCACCCCCTCTTGGTGGGGCCGGGCCCTGCCCTGCGGGGGCGGGGTGGGGGGCATGCATGCTGTGAGCTGCAGGAGAAGGGGTCTCATGTGAATGATGGATGTGGGGTGGGGCGTGGGGGTCTGGGCCCTTCGAGGGGCATCCCTGGATCCCCAGCTCCTCTCGGACCCTGCTCCCTCTGCCTTACAGGACTCCAGACCCACAGCAGCCAGTCCAACCCACCGCGATCTTCCCCCGCAGGAGCGTTAGAGGAAAAGGAAAGGTAGGCCGAAATGCGGCCCCCTCTGGGGTGGGGCGCAGGGGCTGGTTATACGGGGACCCCTCACCTGGCACTGAGATGTGACTGGCTCTGGGATGGGGCGCTGGGGCTGGTTATATGGGGACCCCTAGCCCAGCGCTGAGATGCGGCTGGCTCTGGGGTGGGGCACGGGGGCTAGTTACACGGGAACCCCTCAGCAAGAGAAGGTTGCTGCCCCTTGGTAGCAGCTGTAAGAAGTTCACCCCGCCTATTCCAGCTCCCCCGGGGGATGCTCGGATGAGGGGGTTCTGCCCCTCGCGGTCTGTCAGGGAACTACAGCACACCAGGGTCGTGGGTTCGAATAGTGGCTGAGGAGGGGCCTGGGTCACCCACTGCCCCACTGCCACCCGCAGAGCCTGCCATGTCGGACGCAGAGATGGCTGAGTTTGGGACCGCTGCCCCCTATCTGCGCCAGTCGGAGAAGCTGCGGCTCGAAGCGCAGACCCGGCCCTTCGACCTGAAGAAGGACATCTTCGTGCCGGACGTCAAGGAGGAGTTTGTCAAGGCCAAGCTCCTCTCCCGGGAAGGGGGCAAGATCACCGCTGAGACCGAGAGTGGCCAGGTGCGGAGGGGCGGGGGGGTGCCCCAGACAGCTCCATCCACACAGTTCTCTCCTGCCCCCCTCCAGTGTCACTGCTCCTAAGCACGGCGCCCCCGACAGGCTCCAGATGCCATCCTCCATGGTGCCCCCCAGCACCTCCTGGGTCCCCCGTTCAAGAAGGGATGACTGCTCCTCCCCCACACCATACACTCAAAACCCCCAAGTGACCCCACCTCCTCCTCCAGGGAACCCCCCTCCAGCCCCCACCCCTCATGAGTTCACTTCAGGGGCCCTCCAAACTCCCCCCCATAAACTCCCCACTACCCCCAACTCCTCTAGCCCCTCCCATCCCTACAGAGCCCCCTGGAGGCTGATCCCAGTTCCTCTGTGGGCTGCCTGCCCCAGATGGCACCCACCTCCTCAGCCCTCCTCTTTGTGCAATGGTCTCCCACGCTAACGCCACCCGGTGTGTGTGTTGGGGGGTGTCACTGCAGACGATAACGGTGAAGGAGGATCAGATCATGCAGCAGAACCCGCCAAAGTTCGACAAGATCGAGGACATGGCCATGCTGACGTTCCTGCACGAGCCGGCCGTGCTCTACAACCTCAAGGAGCGATACGCTGCCTGGATGATCTACGTGAGTCGGGGGGGGGGGGTGCCCCCTGCTGGGCTCTGCCAGCTTCCCTTCCCCGGCCTCCCTAGTTGAGCGAAGGACCAAATACCTGGACCTCCATGGTGTGCAACCCACCCCTGCATCGGGGCTGTAGTTTTTCTGGGAGCTCTACATCCAGAGCCGTTCTGGAGCCAGACGTTCTAAATCAGAGGAGCCCATCCAGTGGCTCTGTTTAGAGCCATTCTTCATCAGCAAATCAGTCCATCTTCTAGATCAGAGGGTTGGGGACTCTCTCCATCTTCTAGGTTAGAGCCGTTCTAGTAAAGAAACTCAGTCACTGGTTTAGATCGGGGCACTGGAGCCATTTTAGAGCAGAAACTCAATGTCTCTTCTAGATTGTGGGGGGAGCATTAGAGAAGGAGGAAGAAGGGCTTCCACTCCGCTCCTAAATCAAGGATGTTAGTGTCATTCCATATTGGTGGGGGTTGCCTCACCTTCTAGACTGGGATTGGGTGGCATTATCTCTTCTTCTAGATGGAGGTTGGGTGGTGTCATTTTTTCCTTTCCTGGATCACTGGGGAGGGGAGGAGGCATTGTCTCTGTTATCTTCCCTCTCTCCATCCTTCCCCCCCTCACATCCCATTCCCCTCTCCAGACCTACTCGGGGCTGTTCTGTGTGACAGTCAATCCCTACAAGTGGTTGCCAGTCTATAATGCAGAGGTGGTGGGCGCCTACAGGGGCAAGAAGAGAAGTGAAGCCCCGCCCCACATCTTCTCCATCTCTGACAATGCCTATCAGAACATGCTGACAGGTAGGGACCTAACCCTATCCTTAACTATGCCCCTAACCATAACTATAACCCTAACCTTAACTCTACTCCAGCCATAACCATAAATATAACCCTAACCTTAACTATACTCCTATCCATAAGCGTATCCCTAATTATACCCATAACCATAAATATACCCCTGGCCATAACCATAGTCTCTATCCCTAACTATATCCCTAACCATGAACCCCTAACCTGCACACCTATCCCACTGCTTCCTTTCCCTCTCTGCCCACCAGCACATGTGGATGGGTACAGGATGTCCATTCTGATCTGGGGTGGGCAGAATGGGGCTAGGTAGCTTCTATCCACCTAATGCTGTTTCTCCTCCCCTTCTTCTTTCCAGATCGGGAGAACCAGTCCATCCTCATCACGTGAGTGCCACGCCATCCCCTCCTCTCTTCCCCCTCCCTCCCACAAAATCACTGCACCCCAAAACCTTTAACAGCCCGCTTGAAGTCTGATCCCACCCCCCAAAGTTTTAGCCCTTCTTGTATTGTAGCCCCTACCCTTCAAGTCTTAGCCCCACCTGCTAAAGTTTTAACTTTCCCGCCCCCTCTCTGAAGTCCTGACCCCTGAATTCTGCATGGAGTCTTCCAGCTTCTCCAGCGCTCAGGGTGGGTGGGACACAGGCAGGAGGGGCTGTGTCTCACTGTCCCCTCCTGTCCCCCAGCGGAGAATCCGGGGCGGGGAAGACCGTGAACACCAAGCGGGTCATTCAGTACTTTGCTGTCATCGCAGCCATCAGTGACCGCAGCAAGAAGGAACAACAGGTGGACAAGAGCAAGGTGTGGCCTCCACCCATCTATCTGAACCATCCATCTACGCCTGTATCCATCCCCATGTCCATCCGCCTATGCCTATCCCCATGTCCATCTGTCCATCCCTTTACTAGTCTGTCCATCCCTGGCCTTGTGTTTATCTGCTACCATCCATCCATCCCCATCCCCATATCTCTGTACCCATCTATCTGTCCCATTCCTATATCTGTTCACCCATCCATCCATCCATCCATCCCCATGTCTGTCTGTCCATCCTCACATATGTCCGTATGTCCATCCATCTATTTCTCATTCTTCCCATCATCCATTCTTTGTCTCACTCCTCCCTTTCTTTCCTCTAATTATTTCTTTTTCCCTTTTCCCTCATCTGTGTGATGTTCCTCCTTCAGGGGACCCTGGAGGATCAAATCATCCAGGCCAATCCTGCCCTGGAGGCCTTTGGCAATGCCAAGACTGTGAGGAATGACAACTCGTCCCGATTCGTGAGTATCCTGGAATTTGGGTGGAGGTGGAGAGCTGGGGGAGTAGTATGTGGGGCTGTGTCTGGGGTGGGAGCTCTGGGAAGGAAGCCGTGGGGCTGTTGTCTCAGATGTGGGGGTCAGTGGAGGAGGTTATGGGGTGAGGGCAGTGGGGAAGGTTGTGTGGTTATATGTCTGGGGGGAGAGGTCTGTGTGGTTGTATGTGGGGTGAAGGTGTCTTTGGGGGAGGGATCTATGGGGCTGTGTATGGAGTTTGGGAGTCTGAAGGGCAGTGTCTGGGATGGGAGAGTCTATAGGGAAGGAGATTGTGGGGCTGTATGTCAGGTGGGAGATCTGGGGGAGAAGTCTCTGTGTCTGTCTATGGGGTTTGAGGTCTGAAGGGCCGTGTACGGGGTGGGTGGCTGTGGGGAAGAAAGTTTTGGGGCTTGTGGGAGCCGGGGGAAGGGGTCTGTGTTTGGAGTCCATGGGGCTATCTCTGCTATATTAGCCCCTAATCATGAGCAGTCTCCCTCCCTCCCTCTCTCTCCAGGGTAAATTCATCCGGATTCATTTTGGGGCGACGGGGAAGTTGGCTTCAGCTGATATAGAGACCTGTGAGTGTGATAAATGTCAATGTTCTCTGCCTCCATCCCATGGCTCATGGGTTCATGTTTGTTCTCTGCCTCTCCCCATACCTTCTCTCTAACCCACTCTTTCCCCCTTTCCCTCAGATCTCCTGGAAAAATCCCGGGTCATCTTCCAGCTCAAATCCGAGAGGAGCTATCACATCTACTACCAGATCCTGTCCAACAAGAAGCCAGAACTCCTGGGTGAGGATCTTCAGCAACCTAGGCAGCTTGTGCTTGCGCTGTACTGAACAGCCTCGTGTCTACATGAGTTGGTCTAGTTGAGTGGTGTGTCCACAAAGCTTGTTAAGGTGACTGGACGCTAGTATCCTTAAGTAAAGTTGAGTTCCCTGGAGTCTGATTCAAGTGGAGTGACCTCTTGTACCCTTGCATTGAATCCCTTCCAGTCTTGAGGAGATGATGAACTCTAGTATCCTTAAACTGAGTTCCCTTGAGTCTTGCAAGTAGAGTGGAGTGACCTTCTGTCGTGTTGATTTGAAATGAGCCGAGCATCCTCACATCTTAGTATGTTTAGAGGCATCATATCTTGTTCAGTTGCATGGCGTCCAGTCTTGTTAGACTGAGCTTAGCATCTTCAAGTCTGGCTGAGATCCCTCAAATCCAGAAGAGCTGAATTCAGTGTCCTCAAGTCCTGTTGAGTCTGAGTGAATTCACTCATGTTGGGTTGAGTGAATTCAGGTCTTGAGGAATTGAACTGAGTGGCCCCAAGTCCTTGACCTTTCCTTGCTGAGCTGGTTTCAGTTGAGTGGCATCCTCACTCTTTCACTGAGTTGAGTTGCGCAGATGCGTCATATAGACAAGGGTCTTGTGTCCATCCGTGAACCATCACCTTCCCTCTGCAGACATGATGCTGGTGACCAACAATCCATATGACTACGCCTTCATCTCCCAAGGAGAGACCACGGTGACGTCCATCGATGATGCTGAAGAGTTGCTAGCCACTGATGTGAGTATAGCCAGGGGCAGCAGGGGACCGGGAAGACTCTCAAGGGACCACTGCCTGGGAAGCCATTGCTGTCTCTTTTTCAGTTGGAAGCCTTGACATTTTGTCCCTCTCCCAACACAGAGCGCCTTTGACATCTTGGGCTTCACTCAGGAGGAGAAGAACTCTTTGTACAAGCTGACAGGCGCCATCATGCACTTTGGGAACATGAAGTTCAAGCAGAAGCAACGCGAGGAGCAGGCCGAGCCTGATGGCACTGAGGGTGGGCACTGGTGGCGACTGGGGCCAATGTAGGGTGGGGATTGGTCATGCCCAGGGCTGGGGGAATGGAAGACAAACATTGTCTCCTTTGTTTTTCCAGAGGCGGACAAATCTGCCTACCTGATGGGGTTGAACTCGTCAGATCTACTGAAGGGGCTTGTTCACCCACGGGTCAAGGTGGGGAATGAGTATGTGACCAAGGGGCAGACTGTCCAGCAGGTGAGACCCCACTTCCTTCCTTCCTTCTCCTTTTTCACTCCTTCTTTCCTCTCCTCTTTCTGTGTCTTATTTTTTCTTTCACTCTTCCTTTGTGTCTCATTATTTCTTTTATTTCCTTCACATTCCCTTTCTTTCTTCCATGCTTTCTGTCTCAGTTTCTTCCAGTGTTTTTCTTTCTTTTATTCTTTTACTTTGCGTGTTTCTCCTTCTCTCACTACTGCATCTCTATTTTCCATCCTAACTTCCATTTTTCCATCATAACTGCCATTCTTTCTTTCTTTCTTTCTTTCTTTCTTTCTTTCTTTCCATTTCACTGTTTCTTCCCTGTGTCTCATTCTTTTCTTTCATTCTTGCTTTCACCTGAATTGAGCCTGGATAATTGGAAATGGGACTCATGAGTTCAGTCCAGAGTGTGGAGATCCATGCCCAGGGACCACCAAGCCTGGGATTCACCCTCCCAGCCTGCAACAGGTAACCAGTTCATCTGTCATCCCTCAGGTAGCTTATGCTGTAGGAGCCCTAGCCAAGTCCATGTATGAGAAGATGTTCGGCTGGATGGTGACCAGGATCAACAACACCCTCGAGACGAAGCAGCCACGTCAGTATTTCATCGGGGTGCTGGACATTGCTGGCTTTGAGATCTTCGATGTAAGTGATTCCCCCAGCAGGGGGCACTGTAGGGAGCAGGGCAGGGGCACTGGCTGTGCGGGAGCTCCTGGCTACCCCAGCTCCAGCGTCTCCCAGCAGAAGGTGCTGTAGGGAGTGCTAGTTGTGGTTTAGTTCCTCCCTTCCTCCATTAGGTGGCTCTATGGAAAAGCATCACCTGGCAGGTGTAGTTACACCCTGGTATGTCTCCCCCAGATGCCTCTATGGTCTCACCATAGTAGGAGGTACTTTTTGTTCTCACTCGTCTCTTGCTCCCCCATCTCCTCCCCAGTTCAACAGCTTCGAGCAGCTCTGCATCAACTTCACCAACGAGAAGCTGCAGCAGTTCTTCAACCACCACATGTTCGTGCTGGAGCAGGAGGAGTACAAGAAGGAGGGGATCGAGTGGGTGTTCATCGACTTCGGCATGGACCTGCAGGCCTGCATAGACCTCATCGAGAAGGTACCTCCTGCCGCCACTCCATCGCGACCCTCCACGCCTCCGTCGCGGCCACTGGAGTAGGATCTGCAGTCAGGTTTTGCTTCTCATGTCCAGCCTCGGCTGATCCCTGGCCAGTTCATCCCATTTTGCTCTTGTGCCGATGTTTTCATAGAGCAGCCAGATCCCCTCTCAGTCTGTGTTTGATGCTAAACAGGCCCAGCTCTTTCATTTGCCTCCTATAAGACCTGCTCTCCGTTCCCCCGATTGTCCCGGCAGTCCTTCGCTCGGCACCTGTCCTGGAAGGAAGCCCTCTTTCTGGAACAGGTGACCGGAATTGCTCACCGGATCCCAGATGAGGTTTTGCCAGTGCCTTGTCCAATGGCGTTAAAACCTCCCTATCTCTCCTGGAAAAACCTGTCCTGACAAGCAGTAGGACAACATTGGCCTTTTCCACAGCCACATCACGTCAATTACAATGTCAGTTTCCAGGTCAGAGTTCGGGGCACTCTGGACACTGAGGCAGGGCCTGCAAGAATTTGGCAGGGAGAGAATCTAATTTTCTGGGGCAGCATTCAGCTGCTTCACCCCAAGACTGGCCTTTCGGATCCTGCAGCCCCTGCCTCATTCATTCCATGCCTTGCAACTCGTGCAGCGCATGAGGCAGGGTCTGGCAGACACAGGCCTGGCCGGGCTTGGGGCCAGGCGCGGAAGGAGGCAGGGTCTGGCAGACTCAGCACTGGTTCAGCCCCAGAGCCGGGCCAGGTCAGGTGCTAATTGAGGCAGGGTCCTGTGGGAAAGCAGCACATGATCACAGAATTGAAGTCTGTCTCTCATGAGGGGCAGAGTTAAGGGTAGAGAGACAGCCCTAATCCTTTGCTGTTTGCCTGTGGTGACTCCTAGTTGTCTCTGTCCTCCAGCCCATGGGCATCATGTCCATCCTGGAGGAGGAGTGCATGTTCCCCAAGGCAACGGACATGACCTTCAAGGCCAAGCTCTATGACAACCACCTGGGCAAGTCAGGCAACTTCGGCAAGCCGCGGAACATCAAGGGCAGGCCAGAGGCGCATTTCTCCCTCATGCACTACGCCGGCACGGTGGACTACAACATCATGGGCTGGCTGCAGAAGAACAAGGACCCCCTCAATGAGACGGTGGTGGGGCTGTACCAGAAATCCGCCCTCAAACTCCTTGCCCTCCTCTTCGCCAACTACGCTGGGGCCGACTCAGGTAAGACCCAGCCCCCCTGCTCTAACCACCAGAACCCACTCCCCTCCCATAACCAGAGAAAGAACCCAGGCGTCCTGGGCTCCCACTACCTTCCCCCTCATTGTAACCACTAATCCCCATTCCCTTTCTGATGGGTCTGGGTCTCTCTCCCGCACAGCCCATGAAGGCGGGAAGGGGAAAGGATCAAAGAAGAAGGGTTCATCTTTCCAGACAGTTTCAGCACTGCACAGGGTAAGGGGGTCCGGGGGCAGGCGGCTGAGGTAGGGTTCAGATCTCCTGTGGGATCAGCTCTGCCAGAGGAGATTCCTAACAGACCTTCTTTGTCCCGCTCTCTTTCTTGTTCTTTCTTCTTTGCTTGTCCTTGACTCTTGCTTTCTCATTCTATCCATCCTTCTGCCTCCCTTTCTGTCTCATTCCATCCATCTGTTTTTCTCTCTGTGTTTCACTCTGTTCACCTCTCTTCCTTCATCCTTCCTTCCTTCCTTCCTTCCTTTCTTGTTCTCTCCATTCCCTCTGCCTCTCTTTGCCTCATTCTCTTTATCCATCCATCCCGCCTTTTCTGTCCTGTTCTCTCCATCTCTCTCCCCCCCTCCCCAGGAGAACCTGAACAAGCTGATGACAAACCTGCGCTCAACTCACCCCCACTTCGTCCGCTGCATCATCCCCAATGAGACAAAGTCTCCAGGCACGTGATACCCCCTGCGGGGGGGGGAGGGGAAGTCACAGGCTCCATGGTTCCCCAGGGCTGTTCCGAGGGAGGGGGCGTGGCTAAGGACTGGAGGGCGGTCCTAAAGGGGTAGGGGCATGGCTAAGGGGAGAGGGGTGTGGCTAAGGGCTGAAGGCTAAATCATGAGGGGGTGGGGAGTATGTCTGCATGGTTTGTCCTGTCTCTGTTGCCTTCCATCCCTCCCCAGAGGTGAGGGGACCTGGCTAAAGGAGAGGGGCAGGGCTAAGAGGAAGTGGGGCGTGTTCATTTTTTGCATAAATTATCCACTCTCCATTTCTCCCTGTGGCTGAGGGGGCGTGGTTTATAGATTGGGCCCCCCTTCCACGTCTGTCCCTACCTAAAGGGCAGAGTGGGTGTGGCCTAACGGGCATACATTGCCCCCCACCCAAATCAATCCCTCCCCAAAGGAGCCGGACAGGGCTAAGGGCATGGGGGCATGGCTCAGTGGGAAGGGGCAGGGCCTTTATTTGCATGAATAAAGCTCCCTATCCACCCCCTCTCCAGAGGCAAGGGACATGGCCAAGAGGTAAAGGCAGGGCCTGTGGCTGCCAGGCTCCAACCCTTTCCATCACTAACCCCCCTGTTTTCCTGACCCCAGGGGTGATGGACAACCCCCTGGTGATGCACCAGCTGCGCTGTAATGGGGTGCTGGAGGGCATCCGCATCTGCAGGAAGGGCTTCCCCAACCGCATCCTCTACGGGGACTTCAGACAGAGGTGGGTCTGCCCCCCCAGGGCACTGCTCCAGGGGAAGCTCGCAGCGTCAGGGTGAGGGGGCACTGCTGCAGGGGAAGCTGGCAGCGTCAGAGTGAGGGGACACAGCTGCAGGGGAAGCTGGCAGTGTCAGGGTGAGGGGGCACTGCTCCAGGGGAAGCTGGCAGTGTCAGGGTGAGGGGACACTGCTGCAGGGGAAGCTCGCAGTGTCAGGGTGAGGGGGCACTGCTGCAGGGGAAGCTCGCAGCGTCAGGGTGAGGGGGGCACTGCTGCAGGGGAAGCTCGCAGTTTCACGGGATGGGCTCAGAGATCCAGGGTCTCTAACGATCCCCTCCCCGCAGGTACCGTATCCTGAACCCAGCGGCCATCCCTGAGGGCCAGTTCATCGACAGCCGCAAGGGGGCAGAAAAGCTGCTTGGCTCCCTCGACATCGACTCCAGCCAGTACAAATTCGGGCACACCAAGGTGAGGGGGAGGAGCCTGTGTGGGTGGGCGGAGCCTGTGGGGGGCAGGGTCCCAGCTAGCCACCACCCCCAGGGACCATGGACCATACAGTTGTGCTGGCATTAGGGGGCACTGTGCTGGGGCGGGGGGGTTCCAACTGTGCCCTGTCTCCCAGCCTGGTGCTGGGGGTGCTGGGCCATGGGGGTCCCAGCCTGGTGCGAGGGGTCATTGGGCTGTGGGGGTCCCAGCCTGGTGCTAGGGGGCGCTGGGCTGATGTACATATTTCACTGGCTGTCCCAGGTGTTCTTCAAGGCTGGGCTGCTGGGACTGCTGGAGGAGATGCGGGACGAGCGGCTCGCCCGGATCATCACCCGCATCCAGGCCCAGTCCCGGGGCCTCCTCTCCCGCATTGAATTCAAGAAGATCTTGGAACGCAGGTAGGATGGGGTGCAAAGGCGTCAGAGGAGCCATTGTTGTTGCAGGGAAGCTCGCAGCCATTTCTGGCTGGGGCACTGCTGTGGGGAAGTTCACAGCTCCAGCTCATGTGGCCTCCCTCCCTGCCAGGGACTCCTTGCTGGTTATACAGTGGAACATCCGGGCCTTCATGGGGGTGAAGAACTGGCCCTGGATGAAGCTCTACTTCAAGATCAAACCACTCCTGAAAAGCGCTGAGACGGAGAAGGAGATGCAGGTGAGGTCAAAGGGTGGGAGTAGGGGCTGCAGTGGGCCTGGGGAACTGGATTATCTGAAAGAGCTCAGGAGACAGAGGTGGGCGCTAGGCCCATGGCAATTGCATGGGGGTCTAGCTCAGCTGTGACTGCTCAGGGACAGAGGTGGTCTCTAGGTCAAATGCAAGTCAGTCATGTCAACCGTTTGCAGAGTTGGGTTCTAGGTTAATGTAACAAACTTGGGTTCTTGTTTTAACACAACCTCTGGTGGATTCTAGATAGAGATGGGTTCTAGATCCCTAGATGGGTTCTAGGTTGGTTTGAACTGATTGGGATGAGGGACTGAGTTCTAAGTCGAATTAGCCTGTAGTTGTGATCTAGGACATCTGGAACTGTTTGGTTTGATAATCTGGGTTCTAGGTCACATGCAGCTCCAGCTGCATTCTAGTTCAATTGGGTCTATTCACTTTGAGGAGCTGCGTTCTGGGTTAGCTGAAATTGGCTTCAGGGATGTGTTCTAGATCATATACAACCAGCAGCTGGGTTCTTGGTCAACTGGAACTACTTAGGAAAAGGAGCTGGTAGCTAGGCCAAATGCAAGACACAACTTTGTTCTAAGCCACTAAACCCTCAGCTGGTTTCTAGGTTAACTGGAACCATTTGGGGAATTTACTTGGGTTCTAGGTCAAATGTAGCTGCTCAGAAGAAAGAACTGAAGGCAGCCCAATGCAGATGGCTGCTCACCTGGGATGGTGGGTTCAGTTCTGGTTTCACTCTGGCAGTGGAAATTATTTTGCTCAAGGGGAGATGGAAAAGACGGTTACTGTTTAGCATAGTTGTAGATCAGGTGGATGGATGAATCTTGCAGAGGGAGGGATGGAGGGATATATATGTGGGTGGACTGATGGATGGATATTACAGAGGAAGGGTTGCAGTGGGGGAGGTTTAGGTTGGATATTAGGAAAAACTTCTTCACTAGGAGGGTGGTGAAACACTGGAATGCATTACCTAGGGAGGTGGTAGAATCTCCTTCCTTAGAAGTTTTTAAGGTCAGGCTTGACAAAGCCCTGGCTGGGATGATTTATTTGGGGATTGGTCCTGCTTTGAGCAGGGGGTTGGACTAAATGACCTCCTGAGGTCCCTTCCAACCCTGATATTCTATGATTCTATGATAAGGGGGGAATATATGTGTGGTCAGATGGATGGGTTCATAGATAAATACTGCTAGATGGGCTCATTGCTCTGGTCCAGGGTAGTGAGGTGGGGTGAGATGGGCCAATACTGGCCTATATGTTCCTTTTGGTCTAATCCTTCCCCTGCCCCTGTGCAGACCATGAAGGAAGAGTTTGGGCGCCTGAAGGAGGCGCTAGAGAAGTCGGAGGCCCGGAGGAAGGAGCTGGAGGAGAAGATGGTCTCTCTGCTGCAGGAGAAGAACGATCTCCAGCTGCAAGTGCAGGCTGTGAGTGATGGAAGCATTCCTCCCCCCCGACCCTTCTGGGCCCATGGTCAGTGAGGTTGGGTTGAGGAGCCTCAAGGCTGGTTGGGCCATGAATGATGGAGATCCCCCAGTTTTAATCCTCCCTGACGCCCATGAAGGAGCTCCAACTTCTGCCCTATAGGCTTATAAAAAGGGATTCCCCTATCCTTGAACCCCATGCTTCACCTATCAACCCATCACACTCTTTCTTTCCTTCATTCTCTCCATCTTTTTCTTCTTTCCTTTCAGGAGCAAGACAATCTTGCAGATGCTGAGGAGCGCTGTGACCAGCTGATCAAGAACAAGATCCAGCTGGAGGCCAAGGTGAAAGAGCAGACGGAGCGGCTGGAAGATGAAGAGGAGATGAATGCTGAGCTGACAGCCAAGAAGAGGAAGCTGGAGGACGAGTGCTCGGAGCTCAAGAAGGACATTGACGACCTGGAGCTGACCCTGGCCAAGGTGGAGAAGGAGAAACACGCGACAGAGAACAAGGTGAGGGCAGAGACGGGAGTTTGATTTGTGATAAGTGGCTTCAAGACTATTGTGGTTGAGTGGTATCAAGGCTAGTTGGACTGAGGAGAGTGGCCACAAGGTTGGTTGGGTTGGGTTGGATTTCATGGCCTGAGACCTGGTTATACTGAGAGTTCTCAAGACTGGCTGGGTTGGTTCAGTGGCCTGAGGGATGATTGCGTTGGGTTCGTCAAGTGGATTCAAGGATTGCTGGTTTGAGTCAAGTGGCCACAAACCCTCCATCCTACCATTAAGCCACTAATCTCCAACATTGAGCTTCGCACATTGGGCCACCCTATATCTAAACCCACATGATTTATCTACTTGCAGGTGAAGAACCTGACAGAAGAGATGGCCGGGCTGGATGAGATAATAGCCAAGCTGACCAAGGAGAAGAAGGCCCTGCAGGAGGCCCATCAGCAAGCGCTGGATGACCTACAGGCTGAGGAGGACAAGGTCAATACCTTGAGCAAAGCCAAGGTCAAGCTGGAGCAGCAGGTGGATGATGTAAGTACCAGCAGCCTGGGGATGGGGCTAAGGAGCTAGATGGCATTACTGATAGGTTATTAGTTACTCACCTTAGACTCCTTAGACTCTGGGGGATGTTGTGTCTGGAGAGGTTATCTCTGAGGGATCCAAGTTGGGGTCCAGGGAGGGTGCCTGGGAGGATCACAGAGCAGAGTGTCTCCGATGGAGGGCGATACATCACTGGGGGGTTTCCCACTAAAAATGTCCTGTTGAGCAGACCCCGGGTTCCTGGGTTCATTTTCTTTCTCTCTCTCTCAGTTGGAGGGCTCCCTGGAGCAGGAGAAGAAGATCCGCATGGACCTGGAACGGGCCAAGAGGAAGCTGGAAGGGGATTTGAAACTGGCCCAGGAGAGCATCATGGACCTGGAGAATGACAAGCAGCAGATGGACGAGAAGCTGAAAAAGTAGGGGCCTCCTTGTGTCGCCTCTTTGCTCTAACCCCTAGACCCCACTCCCTCCAGAGCCAGGGGTAGAACCCAGGAGTCCTGGCTCCCAACCTCCCACTCTAACCCCTAGACCCCACTCCCTCCAGAGCCAGGGGTAGAACCCAGGAGTCCTGGCTCCCAACCTCCCACTCTAGCCACTAGACCCCACTCCCTCCAGAGCCAGGGGTAGAACCCAGGAGTCCTGGCTCCCAACCTCCCACTCTAACCCCTAGACCCCACTCCCTCCAGAGCCAGGGGTAGAACCCAGGAGTCCTGGCTCCCAACCTCCCACTCTAACCACTAGACCCCACTCCCCTCCCAGATCCAGAAAGAGAACTTGTTTTCTGTCTCCTTCAGGAAAGACTTTGAGCTCAGTGCGCTGAATGCCCGGATCGAGGATGAGCAACTGATAGCTGCCCAGCTCCAGAAAAAGCTCAAAGAGCTTCAGGTGAGGCAGGCTGGCTTGTACATCACCAGAGTTGGGGTACAGAAATGCTCCCCACCTAGCTGGGCTGTGGTAGCAGGATGATCTCAGTGCTCATCTCCTCTCCAGTCTTTACTCTGTGTTGCTTGTGGGTGTCTCCACAATCCCTCCCCTCCTTTCTCTTCGGTCTAGAATTAGGAGGGAGAAGCTCATCGAAAGTCTAGAACCAATAGAGACATTCAGGGTCCCCTCTTTTGTCTCTCAGGAAAATTCTCTTCCTCTCTGCTGTAGAACAGCATGCCCAAAAGTTAGAATACCTCATATGGGTCTGAGCCTATGCTCCTTTGCTTCTAGAACTTAGACTACTTTTATAATGATCTAGAACATCTATGTGTTTTATTTGGCACAGTGGGGTCTTGAACTGTTTAAAGAAATTGGTTATCTGAGCTCTCTCCTGATTGAATAGGGAATCTCCAGAACTCATATTATTCCTTCCCTGTTCTAGAATGTCCACCAGTCATTTTCAACATTGGGTGCTCTAGATGCTGCTAAGGCCACTTGCTTCTAGAGTCCCCACCAACACATGCTTTCCCTGATCTAGAACATCTACATTCTGTCCTTTGGCGCTGCATGTTGTAGACCCAGTTCAGGTCCTTTAAAGTGGCGTAGCCAGGTGGAAAGAACGGGGAGCAGAGATAAAAAAGGCACCACCCCCTGGTACTCACCCGGCGGCGCTCCAGGTCTTCAGCAGCACTTGGGCGTCAGGTCCTTCACTCGCTCCAGTCTTCAGCGCTGAGGGACCCCCCACCGCAATGCCGCCGAAGACCGGAGCGAGTGAAGGACCCGACGCCGAAGTGCTGCTGAAGTCCCGGAGCGCCACCGGGTGAGTAATCATTTAAAAGGCACCAAAGAATTAGAAAGGCGGCACATCTGCCCGGTGGGGGAGCGGCCGCTGCCCCGCTGCCCCCCGTAGCTTCGCTACTGGTCCTTTCCTTCTGGAACCCAAAGGAGTCTTTCCCATGACCTAGGATGTCTACATGCTGTATGTGAACCTGGGTGTCTGAGATCTGGCTAATGACCTTTGTTCCTAGAACTTTTCTATCGTATCTAGCATATGTCATGTTCTAGATTTGGCTGAGGATCTTTGCTCCTCTACCCCACGTGTTCCTGCCTGCTCTAGAATGTGAGATGTTCTAGGCCTGTCTAAGCCCATGGGTCTCTCTCCGGCTGCAGGCGCGCATCGAGGAGCTGGAGGAAGAGCTGGAGGCGGAGCGCACGGCCCGGGCCAAGGTGGAGAAGCTGCGCTCGGACCTGTCGCGGGAGCTGGAGGAGATCAGCGAGCGGCTGGAGGAGGCGGGCGGCGCCACCTCGGTGCAGATCGAGCTGAACAAGAAGCGGGAGGCGGAGTTCCAGAAGATGCGGCGGGACCTGGAGGAGGCCACGCTGCAGCACGAGGCCACGGCCGCCACCCTGCGCAAGAAACACGCCGACTCGGTGGCCGAGCTGGGCGAGCAGATCGACAACCTGCAGCGCGTCAAGCAGAAGCTGGAGAAGGAGAAGAGCGAGCTCAAGCTGGAGCTGGACGACATCAGCTCCAACCTGGAGCAGCTGCTCAAAGCCAAGGTGCCCAGGGGGCAGGCCCATGGAGGGGGAGGAGCCACGGGGAGGGGGAGGGGCTCCGGATGGAGGGCCAATCATCGCTGTGAGGGCAGCATCAGTGGGGGAGGAGCCACTGCTCCTCCAGTGCTCATGAGGGCCCGGCAAAGGCAGGGAGGCGGGGCCGAAGCTCGTGGGCAGGGCCAGTGCGGCAGCGGGAGGTGCCTCGCTTTCTCCCGCCCTCCTGTCTTTTCGGGGTCTCCTTTTCCTGTCGCTCCTTCATTCTCCCGTTGATTTCTTCCCCCCCGTTCACCGCCCTGAAATCTCCCCCTCCCCAGGCCAACCTGGAGAAGCTGTGCCGGACGATGGAGGATCAGATGAACGAGCACAGGACCAAGTCCGAGGAGGGGCAGCGCATGGTGAATGACCTCACTACCCAGCGTGCCAAGCTCCAGGCTGAGAATGGTGAGTGGGGAAGCCCTGCCCTGCCCCCCGGGATGCCCCCATCCCCCTACACCCCTGGGACCCTGCACCACTGGTATCCCCTGCAAACCTGGGACCCCCCCTCCCTGCCCCCTATGTCCCTGGGACTCCCCCACCTGCCCCTGAGAGCCCTGCTACATCCTTCTGAGCACCCCATGAGGGATGTGCCCTCTGGGAGCCCCCTCCTCGCCCCCCATGTCCCCTCCCTCCCCCCTGCACCCCACACACCATGCACGAGCCCCTGAGCCCTTTAACCCTCCTCCCCACCCTCTGCCCCTCCCTGAGGGACCTCCCAAGAGCTCTCTCCCAACCCCCTGCACTCCATATGATGGATCCTCCCTCCACACTTCTGGGAGCCCCCCCTCATGGCCCCCGTGCACGGGGGTGGGGGGGGTCCTTGTGGAGGATGGTTCCCTATTCTCCTTCTGCCCTGCACCCAGGCGAGCTGGCCAGGCAGCTGGATGAGAAGGATGCGCTGGTCAACCAGCTGACACGGGGGAAGCTGACGTACACGCAGCAGCTGGAAGATCTCAAGAGACAACTGGAGGAAGAGGCCAAGGCAAGGCTGGGCTGGCAGGGGGCTGCGGGTCAGGGGTGAGGGGCACCGGCAGAGCTGGGAGTGGGGGGAGCCCAGGGCTGGGCCAGCAGGGGTCTGTGGTCAGGAGTGATCACAGAGCTGGGGTGGGGGCAGGGCTGGGCTACCAGGGGCTCTGGGTCAGGAGTGAGGGGCACCGGCAGATCTGAGAAGCCCAGGGCTGGGCTAGCAGGGGGCTGCGGGTTCGGAGTGAGGGGCACCGGCAGATCTGAGGAGCCCAGGGCTGGGCTAGCAGGGGGCTGTGGGTGCGGAGTGAGGGGCACCGGCAGAGCTCTTCGTCCCCCGCCCCAGGCGAAGAACGCCCTGGCCCATGCGCTGCAGTCGGCCCGGCACGACTGCGACCTGCTACGGGAGCAGTACGAGGAGGAGACGGAGGCGAAGGCCGAGCTGCAGCGCTCACTCTCCAAGGCCAACTCCGAGGTGGCGCAGTGGAGAACCAAGTACGAGACGGACGCCATCCAGCGGACGGAGGAGCTGGAGGAGGCCAAGTGAGTGCCGGGCGGCTTTCCCTCTCACCGTCCCCTTCCCTGCCTTCCCCCCTTCCTGGGAACTTGTCTAGAATGCTCTAGAGCCATCTGGAACATGAGGATCCCACGTGGCAGGCCAGTGTTTTGGATGTTTTCTGCTGGGGACTTGTCTAGAGCGGTCTAGAACCCTTCCACTACCCTGTGCTTCCATTCCTCTTTTCTTTCCCCCTCTCATTCAATCCCTCCTTTTTTCTTTTCGTTCCCTTGCTCTTTTATCTTTTTGTACATTCTCTTATTCTTTTGTTCTTTTTTCATCCGCTCCTCTTGTTTCTCTCATTCATTCTTTCTTTTTTCCTTTCATTCTCTTGTTTGTTCTGTCATTTTTTTCTTTCTTTTTGTTGTTCTTTCATTCCCTGTTTTGTTCTGTCTTCCCATCTCTCTTGCTTCCTTTCTTTCTGTTGGCTTTTCATTTGTTTGTTCTTTCATCCGCCGGCTCTTTTTTCCTTTCATACTTTTTCATTCTTTTGTTCCTTCTTTCACTCCTTCTGTTTTTTTCTTTTTTCCCTTTTTATTGTTTGTCTCATTCTTTTTCTTTCTTCCTTTCATCTTCCTGTTTTTCCTCCTTCTTGTCCTTTTTTTCAGTTCATTTCTTTCTTCCTGATTGTTTGTTCTTCCTGTTCATTCTTGTTTATCCTTTCCTTTCATTTAATCCTCTCTTATGCTTGGTTCCACATTCCCGCCATCTCTCCTATTTTCTTCCGTCTTGCCTGAAGTGCAGGTGTGTGTGTCTCTCTCTAGTCCCCACCATGGACAAGAAACTCTTTTTGCCTTGAATGGTCTAGAACATAAGGTTCCCATGCATCCGGCCAGTGTCTTGGTCATGTACAGCTGGGAGATTGTCTACAATGGTCTAGAGCAATCTAGAATATAAGAATCCCACATGTCAAGTCAGTGTCTTGGTAATTTTCTATGGGGAACTTGTCTAGAATAGTCTAGACCATCAGGCCAGTGTCACGGGCATTTTTCTGCTGGGAACCCCCCATAACTCCAAGGCCCAGGGAGGTGGGGAAGAGCTCAAGTTGCTCTTCGGTGGCTGATGGTGTCTGTCGCCCCCCGGTGGCAGGAAGAAGCTGGCGCAGCGGCTGCAGGAGGCGGAGGAGGCCGTGGAGGCCGTGAACGCCAAGTGCTCATCGCTGGAGAAGACCAAACACCGGCTGCAGAATGAGATTGAGGACCTGATGGTGGACGTGGAGCGGTCGAACGCCGCCGCCGCCGCCCTGGACAAGAAGCAGAGAAACTTCGACAAGGTGGGGCTGGGGGAGAGAGAGAGAGAGATGATGGATGGATGGATGGATGGAGTAGAGCAAAGAAATAATGAAACAGGGCCAAAGGAAGACAGAATAAAACAAAGCTAAAGAAATGAAGCATGAATTAAATAGAGCCTAGGAAAGAAAGAAAGGAGGAGGTAGAACCGCAGAAAAATTGAATACAAAGCCAAAAAAAAATTTAAATGGAAGGAAGGAAGGAAGGAAGGGATAAAACAGAGTGAATGAATGAAATAGATGAAAGAAAGACTAAAAGGAGGGAAATAAAGAAGGAAACAGAGCACAGAAAGAATGAAATAGAGCCAAGGAAAGAAAGAAGCAAAACCAAATATAAATAAAATAGAGCAAAAAAAATGGAAAAAAAGTAAAAATGAACTAGAGGGAAGGAGCCAAAGAATGAGAGACTGAAGTACAGCCAAAGAATAAAAGAAAGAATGAGAGAGCCAAAGAAAAATTGAATAAAAAACCAATGAACAAATGAATGAAACAGAGCAAAGAGAGACTTAAATGGAGGCAAAAAATAGATGGAGTGAAAAATGGAAAAAAAACAAAATAGAGAGAGCCAAATAAAGAACGAGTGAATGAAACAGAGCCAAAGAATGAATGAAACAGAGCCAAGGAAGGCAAAAAATAGTTTTCGGCAACCAACAATTGGGTATTTTTCAGCAGAAAACATTCTGACTTGGGTTGCTAAGAGGTGAAAAATATTTGTTTCCCTGAAAAGTCAACATTTCCACCCCCCTCCCACCTCGTTCTCCTGTCGGAGATGGCGGGACCAGATGGTCCACAATATGTCAGAGCTTCCTAGGTGACTTGATCGTGGTCTACAAGGATCTACCTAGGTAAGAGGTTTTCTGGTAGGGCTCTCTTAAATCTCAACGCCCAAAGGAGAACGAGACCCAGTGGCTGGAATCTGAAGCACGACATGTTCAGACTAGAAATAAGGTACACATTTTTCATGGGCACAGGAATTAACCCTTAGAACAGCCAGCGTAGGCCGACAGTGGCTTCTCTCTCACTTGGCATCTTTAAATCAAGAACCAGCTTCTCTTAAGATACATTCTAGCTCAGTTGTCAGATATGGGCTGGAGACATGGGTGACTGGAAAGGGGGAGAGACAGAGGAAAGAGAAAGCAGGAAGGAATGAAAAGCTAGAGGAAAGGAGGGAGAGGGGCCCAAAGCAGGGAGTTTTCTCCATTGGAGTGACTTTCTCTCACCCCCTACCCCCTAGATCCTGTCCGAGTGGAAGCAGAAGTTCGAGGAGTCGCAGACGGAGCTGGAGTCCTCACAGAAGGAGGCGCGGTCGCTCAGCACCGAGCTCTTCAAGCTGAAGAACGCCTACGAGGAGTCTCTGGAGCATCTGGAGACCTTCAAGAGGGAGAACAAGAACCTACAGGGTGAGACTCCCCGCCCCCTTCCCCGGCACCCCCTGCCCCCAGTCCCTGCAGCACAGCACCCATTGGCCCCAGGCTGGGGTAGGACAATCTCCCACCCTAGCCATGACTTGCTTCCTGCTTAGCGCAGTCTCTCTGCCCCCACAGAGGAGATCTCAGACCTGACGGAGCAGCTGGGAACCAGCGGCAAAACCATCCATGAGCTGGAGAAGGTGCGGAAGCAGCTGGAGGCCGAGAAGATGGAGCTGCAGGCGGCGCTGGAGGAGGCTGAGGTGAGGGGCACGGGCCGAGCACCCTTTCCCAGAGCAGCATGGGGGTCAGCCGGGAAACACCCCCACCCCAGCACCAGCTCTGCCTATTCTGATTTCATTTTCCCTCTCTCTCTTTCCAACCCTTTCCCTGGTCTTCCCCTTTCATCCACCCTTGCTTTTTTCACTAATTCTTTTCTTCTGTCTGCCACTTTTTCAATTCTTCCTTGAATATATTCTTTCTTTCTTTCTTTCTTTCTTTCTTTCTTTCTTTCTTTCTTTCTTTTATGTATTAATCTCTCTCTCTCTTTTCTCTCACTCATTCATCCTTCCCCCCTTCCACTCCCCAGGCCTCTCTGGAGCACGAGGAGGGGAAGATCCTGCGGGCCCAGCTGGAATTTAGCCAGTTCAAGGCAGATTTTGAGCGGAAGCTGGCGGAGAAGGATGAGGAGATGGAGCAGGCCAAGCGCAACCACCTGCGGGTGGTGGATTCGCTACAGACCTCGCTGGACGCCGAGACCCGCAGCCGCAACGAGGCGCTGAGGGTCAAGAAGAAAATGGAGGGCGACCTCAACGAGATGGAGATCCAGCTGAGCCATGCCAACCGCATGGCGGCCGAGGCCCAGAAGCAAGTCAAGCTGCTGCAGGGATTGCTCAAGGTACCTCCAGGGGGTGCTATGCTGTGGGGGGGTCCCAGTGGTTCCCTGTTTCCCAGCCTGGCCCTAGGGGGTGCTGTGCTGTGGAGGGGAGGGTCCTAGCCATGCCCTGTCTCCCCACTCATGGCCTGTTTCCCTCCACCCCAGGACACCCAGATCCAGCTGGACGATGTCGTCCGGGCCAATGAGGACCTGAAGGAGAACATTGCGATTGTGGAGCGGCGGAACAACCTGCTGACGGCCGAGCTGGAGGAGCTGCGGGCAGTGGTGGAGCAGACGGAGCGTGCCCGGAAACTGGCCGAGCAGGAGCTGATAGAAGCCAGCGAGAGAGTCCAGCTGCTCCACACCCAGGTCAGAGAGACAGGGACCCCTGACATCTGACCCCTAGAGTCGAACCCTCTTCGGGCCACTGCAGAGAACCTGGCCCCAGCAGCGGTTCCCGTCACTGACCCATGTGGGCTTCCCTGTTCATTCACAACAGGAGCCTAGAACACTGACACTGCCCTGTTGGGTCTGGAGAGTGATCTAGAACATGACAGCCATAATCTAGAGTGTGGGTGCTGCTGTGTTGGGGTTGGATTGTAATCCAGAACCTGAACAGGACTTTGTTTGCTCTGGGAAGTGGTCTAGAGCATCAATACTGCCATTTTTGTGTCTGGATAACCATTTAGAATATGATTGCCACTTGATTTGTTCTGGATAATAGTCTAGAATATCCACTCTGTCTGGGAAACAACCTAGCACAAGATCACAACCATATGGGCTTCCCTGTTCATTCACGACAGGAATGATTTTGGGTGATGCTCCGGAACATGGTTAGAGGTCAGCACATTCCGGATAGTAGTCTAGAAGATGGCCATTGCCAAGTTCATTCAGCATAGTCATCTAGAACATGGTGGCCATTTATTTGTTTTGGATAATACTCTGAAATATAAACATCACTTTATTTGATCTGAATGATCATCTAGAAGTTTCGTCTGACTAAGAGTCTAGAACAGTTTTGAGTGATGTGATAGTCTAGAATATGTGTATAATATGGCCAATGTCCTGATTGCTTGGAGAAATTATCTAGAACTTGTCTTGGTCAGGTAAAATAGCATTCTGGAATGGGATCACTGCACCATTTGGTTGGGGCAATAATGTAGAACATTTGGGTGGGGTGGCAGTCTAGAATATGATAATTACTCCTTTTGTGCAAATAATAGTCTATAATATGCCCATTTTGAGTGGGATAAGTCTAGAAAATAGTCACTGCTTTGTGTGTGAGAGACAAGAGTCTCTTATTTGTCTGGTGCCTGTACAGACCTCACTCCACCAGCTGGTTTTGGGCCAATCTAGAACCTGGGTCTCAACAACCACCCCCTGATCCCATTTAATTCAAGATCAAGGGGCTAGAACATTTTAGGGAGTGGCATTTCTCCCAGAGAGGCAAATCTAGAACAGACCTGCCAGCATCAGGTTCTAGCCCACCAAGGAAGGAGCTCAGATGGCCCTGATCCTGAGATGTCAGGAAATCATGTCTATATCTGATGGAACAATGCCGCCTCTGAGCTTATCTCTCCTCACCCACTGATCTAGAACACCAGCCTGATCAACCAGAAGAAGAAGATGGAGGCGGATCTGTCCCAGCTGCAGACAGAGGTGGAGGAGGCCGTGCAGGAGTGCAGGAATGCTGAGGAGAAGGCCAAGAAAGCCATCACCGACGTGAGTGCTAGGGAATGGGACATGGGGCCTTTCCCCTCCCGCAGGCGCCGGCTCTGATCTGGCCCCAGAGTGGGGGGACTGGCTGTCTCAGGGGGGCAGGAATGATTCTTCTTTCTGGCTGGCAGGCGGCAATGATGGCAGAGGAACTGAAGAAGGAGCAGGACACCAGCGCCCATCTGGAGCGGATGAAGAAGAACATGGAGCAGACCATCAAGGACCTGCAGCTGCGGCTGGATGAGGCCGAGCAGCTGGCCCTCAAGGGTGGCAAGAAGCAGCTGCAGAAGCTGGAGGCGCGAGTCCGGGAGCTCGAGAACGAGCTGGAGTCGGAGCAGAAGCGCAACGTGGAGAGCATCAAGGGCCTGCGCAAGTCGGAGCGGCGCATCAAGGAGCTCACCTACCAGGTACCGCCGGGAGGGGGTGGGTCTGGAAATAAGATAAGCTGCAGATCTTGCAATCCAGAATACAAATGGTATGATCCAGAACACGAGTTGCATGCCTCAGAACACAATGTGTGCTCTAGAACCCAAAGTGCGTGCCCCAGAACTTGCACTCTAGAACATGAGTTGTCTGGCATGGAACACAAGTAGCCTGCCCCCAAACATGTTACATATGCTCTAGAACATAAGACACATGTCATGGACTCACAGGTTGTGCCCATTCTTGGCCCCGTGCAGTCCCTGGGAGGAACCCCCTTCAGTGTGACAGCCCTTCTCGGGGATCCACTCTCTCTTGGGGGTTAAGACCTTCCACCTCCTGGAACCGCATCTCTCTGAGCCCATCCTCCACTTCATCACAACATGCCCCAGGGCATGTATGGTCCTATCCAGAACATAATCCTAGCTGTTCTGCATCACAAATACCTGGCTTCTGACCATCCCACACTAGGACTTGAACATCGCACTCAAGACACATGCTACAGAATTGTTTGCCTTGTCTATAACATCTTACTAATCATTGTAGACCTAGGTGAGCACATCCTGTTCCAGAAACCTCTGCACCAGAACACAAGCTATCCACTCGAGAACGTGGGACATGTGGCAGAGAACATAACCTGATCTATGCTCGACCATAGATGACCTAGAGTCATGGATCCAAGGCCAGAAAGGATCATTGAGGTCATCTAGCCAGATCTCCTGTATATTACAGGCCATAGACTTCCCTCACTTGTTCTAGAATAATAGGTTCTAGAGTGTAGCACACCCATTAGCCTTGTGTTCCATAGCCAGATTCAAGAACACCATTCATTCCATAGTCTCGAACCCTGCATGAAATTCCCATGTGTTACCCCCGTATTATACAATAACAACCTGGAGTATCTCAGCATTCCCAGCCATCATGCTGTTCTAGAGCCAGGCTCTTATCCAGTCCTGCTCTAGAACCAACCCCTAACTGGCTTGGCTTTTGGTCTAGAACATGGTGGATCTAAAAACCATCACCCCTCCCACTGGCTTTTTTAATTCTAGATCGAGAGTGCCCCAGCAGCCCTTGAGTTTTAGACAGGTCTAGAATAATTGTGGGGCTCTTTTGTTCCCACCCCCATTTCAGGTAACACACGTAGACTTATGGTCACAAACGGAGATTGGGTGTTAATCTAGCCCCCCATGGTTCTTGAGTAGCTGGGTTCCAGAGCCACTTGCTGAATCCAGAATGTCTCCCCCCTCTCCTCCCATCTCTCCAGACTGAGGAGGACAGGAAGAATCTGATCCGTCTCCAGGACCTGGTAGACAAACTCCAGCTGAAGGTCAAAGCCTACAAGCGGCAGGCCGAGGAGGCGGTGAGTGTCCAGAACTTCTAGATCCTCCCCATGATGCATTCTGGAATCCAGACCTCCTCCTCCTCCGGGCCGCAGAACCCAGATGGATGGGCAGGTGGACAGTTGAGTGGGTGGATAGGTGGAGAGTTGATGGAAAGGTTGGATGAGAAAATGGAAGAATGGATGGATTGTAACCAATCAGTACAGGGGGGCTGGCCCCCTCCTAACCTTCCCTGAGCCCTTATCTGTTGGAAATCCAGTGGTGGGTAGTTCCACAGGTTAACACATCCCATTTTCTTCTCTGTGTCCCGAGTGGGACAGGCACCCCCTGCCTTGGGGCAGTACCCAGGTAAGTGCAGGGGCCTGGCTGTGCTGAACTCTGGGCTGCACTGCAGACCCAGTAGCGGGCACTTCCACAGGGTAACGCCCCGATTTCTCTCCCCTGGCAGGAGGAACAAGCCAACACCAACCTGGCCAAGTTCCGGAAGGTGCAGCACGAGCTAGACGAGGCGGAGGAGCGGGCTGACATCGCCGAGTCCCAGGTCAACAAGATGCGGGCCAAGAGCCGGGACATCGGAGCCAAGGTGAGCCATGGAGGAGCTGCCCCTCCCCCTCCTCTGACCCCCCACCCCCTTTTTTCCTCTTCTCCCCCATTTCTCCTGTCACCTCTTCTCCCCTCCCTTCTCCCCTCCCCACGTCTTTGCCCTCATATTGACACACTCTCTCTCTCTCTCTCTGTTCTTTTGCAGAAGGGGCTGAACGAGGAGTAACTCCCGTGACCCCCCCAGGCGCCCCCTGTCTGCAACTGACAGACTCTGCTCCCCGACCCACCCCCATTCTCTGTATATCAGCGTCGGCCCCCCATCCCCGCTTCCCAGACTGTAGAATAAAATGCATTGTACAGCTCCGTGCGCTCTGCGTGTGACTTTAAATAAACACTCCCCACAGCATGACACCCCCCACCGAGCCCTGCCCCCGACTCCACCCGGCACAGCGCTCCTAGGCCTACACACCCGTGTCCTCTTTACCCATAGATGAGTTGAGTGGAGACCAGGCTCTGTCATTGGTATTAGCTGCCCACTAGTGGCCAGTGTCGGTATTGCACAATGAACAGACGAGGAGGGGGTGAGAAACGGGATGGGGCTGGGATATCACCCAGGGACTGCTGGATGCTGTGGATGGAGAGGGGGATGGAGGGATGGATATCACACAGGGAGGGAGGGAAGTTGTGGAGGGAGGGGGGATGGAGGGATGGATATCACACAGGGAGGGAGGGATGTTGTGGAGGGAGAGGGGGTGGAGGGATGGATATCACACAGGGAGGGAGGGATGTTGTGGAGGGAGGGGTGGATATCACACAGGGAGGGAGGGAAGTTGTGGAGGGGGGGTGGAGGGATGGATATCACACAGGGAGGGAGGGATGTTGTGGAGGGAGGTGTGGAGGGATGGATATCACACAGGGACTGCTGGATGCTGTGGACGGAGAGGGGGATGGAGGGATGGATATCACACAGGGAGGGAGGGATGTTGTGGAGGGAGGGGGGATGGAGGGATGGATATCACACAGGGAGGGAGGGATGTTGTGGAGGGAGGGGTGGAGGGATGGATATCACACAGGGAGGGAGGGATGTTGTGGAGGGAGGGGGATGGAGGGATGGATATCACACAGGGAGGGAGGGATGTTGTGGAGGGGGGGTGGATGGGTGGATATCACACAGGGAGGGAGGGATGTTGTGGAGGAAGGGGTGGAGGGATGGATATCACACAGGGAGGGAGGGAAGATGTGGAGGGAGGGGGTGGAGGGATGGATATCACACAGGGAGGGAGGGAAGTCGTGGAGGAGGGTGGAGGGATGGATATCACACAGGGAGGGAGGGATGTTGTGGAGGGAGGGGGTGGAGGGATGGATATCACACAGGGAGGGAGGGAAGTTGTGGAGGGAGGGGTGGAGGGATGGATATCACACAGGGAGGGAGGGATGTTGTGGAGGGAGGGGGGTGGAGGGATGGATATCACACAGGGAGGGAGGGATGTTGTGGAGGGGGGGTGGAGGGGTGGATATCACACAGGGAGGGAGGGATGTTGTGGAGGGAGGGGGGTGGAGGGGTGGATATCACACAGGGAGGGTGGGATGTTGTGGAGGGGGGGGTGGAGGGATGGATATCACACAGGGAGGGAGGGATGTTGTGGAGGGGGATGGAGGGATGGATATCACACAGGGAGGGAGGGATGTTGTGGAGGGGGGTGGAGGGATGGATATCACACAGGGAGGGAGGGATGTTGTGGAGGGAGGGGTGGAGGGATGGATATCACACAGGGAGGGAGGGAAGTTGTGGAGGAAGGGGTGGAGGGATGGATATCACACAGGGAGGGAGGGAAGATGTGGAGGGAGGGGGTGGAGGGATGGATATCACACAGGGAGGGAGGGGGGATGGAGGGGTGGATATCACACAGGGAGGGAGGGAAGTTGTGGAGGGGGGTGGAGGGATGGATATCACACAGGGAGGGAGGGATGTTGTGGAGGGAGGGGGGTGGAGGGATGGATATCACACAGGGAGGGAGGGAAGTTGTGGAGGGAGGGGTGGAGGGATGGATATCACACAGGGAGGGAGGGATGTTGTGGAGGGAGGGGGTGGAGGGATGGATATCACACAGGGAGGGAGGGATGTTGTGGAGGGGGGGGGTGGAGGGGTGGATATCACACAGGGAGGGAGGGATGTTGTGGAGGGAGGGGGGTGGAGGGGTGGATATCACACAGGGAGGGTGGGATGTTGTGGAGGGGGGTGGAGGGATGGATATCACACAGGGAGGGAGGGATGTTGTGGAGGGGGGTGGAGGGATGGATATCACACAGGGAGGGAGGGAAGTTGTGGAGGGAGAGGGGGATGGAGGGATGGATATCACACAGGGAGGGAGGGATGTTGTGGAGGGAGGGGGATGGAGGGATGGATATCACACAGGGAGGGAGGGATGTTGTGGAGCGAGGGTGGAGGGATGGATATCACACAGGGAGGGAGGGAAGTTGTGGAGGGAGAGGGGGATGGAGGGATGGATATCACACAAGGAGGGAGGGATGTTGTGGAGGGGGGTGGAGGGGTGGATATCACACAGGGAGGGAGGGATGTTGTGGAGGGGAGGTGGAGGGATGGATATCACACAGGGAGGGAGGGATGTTGTGGAGGGGGGTGGATGGGTGGATATCACACAGGGAGGGAGGGAAGTTGTGGAGGGGGGTGGAGGGATGGATATCACACAGGGAGGGAGGGATGTTGTGGAGGGGGTGGATGGGTGGATATCACACAGGGAGGGAGGGAAGTTGTGGAGGGGGGGTGGAGGGATGGATATCACACAGGGAGGGAGGGATGTTGTGGAGGGGGGGTGGAGGGGTGGATATCACACAGGGAGGGAGGGATGTTGTGGAGGGGGGGGTGGAGGGATGGATATCACACAGGGAGGGAGGGATGTTGTGGAGGGGGGTGGAGGGATGGATATCACACAGGGAGGGAGGGATGTTGTGGAGGGAGGGGTGGAGGGGTGGATATCACACAGGGAGGGAGGGATGTTGTGGAGGGAGGGGTGGAGGGGTGGATATCACACAGGGAGGGAGGGATGTTGTGGAGGGAGGGGGGTGGATGGGTGGATATCACACAGGGAGGGAGGGATGTTGTGGAGGGGGGTGGAGGGATGGATATCACACAGGGAGGGAGGGATGTTGTGGAGGGGGGTGGAGGGATGGATATCACACAGGGAGGGAGGGATGTTGTGGAGGGAGGGGTGGAGGGGTGGATATCACACAGGGAGGGAGGGATGTTGTGGAGGGGGGGTGGAGGGATGGATATCACACAGGGAGGGAGGGATGTTGTGGAGGGAGGGGTGGAGGGGTGGATATCACACAGGGAGGGAGGGATGTTGTGGAGGGAGGGGTGGAGGGGTGGATATCACACAGGGAGGGAGGGATGTTGTGGAGGGAGGGGGTGGATGGGTGGATATCACACAGGGAGGGAGGGATGTTTGGCTGGGGATGGGGGAATGGGGGGATGGAGGGATGAATGGCTGTGGATGGGGATGGGGGATGGATGGAGGGAGGATGGAGGGAGGGAGGGTGGAGGGAGGGAGGGAGGGAGGGTGGATGGAGGGAGGGATGGAGGGAGGGAGCGGTGGATGGATAGAGGGAGGGTGGATGGAGGGAGGGATGGAGGGAGGGTGGATGGATGGATGGAGGGAGGGTGGATGGATAGAGGGAGGGAGGGATGGAGGGAGGGAGGAAGGGTGGATGGAGGGAGCGGTGGATGGATGGATGGAGGGAGGGAGGGATGGATGGAGGGAGCGGTGGATGGATAGAGGGAGGGTGGATGGAGGGAGGGATGGAGGGAGGGAGGGAGGGTGGATGGATAGAGGGAGGGATGGATGGAGGGAGGGAGGGAGGGATGGAGGGAGGGATGGATGGAGGGTGGATGGATAGAGGGAGGGAGGGATGGAGGGAGGGAGGGTGGATGGAGGGAGCGGTGGATGGATAGAGGGAGGGTGGATGGAGAGAGGGATGGAGGGAGGGTGGAGGGAGGGTGGATGGAGGGAGGGCTGATGGAGGGATGGAGGGGTGGATGGAGGGAGGGTGGATGGAGGGAGGGAGGGATGGAGGGAGGGAGCGGTGGATGGATAGAGGGAGGGTGGATGGAGGGAGGGATGGATGGAGGGAGGGTGGATGGATAGAGGGAGGGATGGATGGATGGAGGGAGGGAGGGATGGAGGGAGGGAGCGGTGGATGGATAGAGGGAGGGTGGATGGAGGGAGGGATGGAGGGAGGGAGGGAGGGATGGAGGAGGGAGGGTGGAGGGAGGGAGGGATGGAGGGAGGGTGGAGGGTGGATGGAGGGAGGGATGGAGGGAGGGAGCGGTGGATGGATAGAGGGAGGGTGGATGGAGGGAGGGATGGAGGGAGGGTGGATGGATGGATGGAGGGAGGTGGATGGATAGAGGGAGGGATGGATGGATGGAGGGAGGGAGGGATGGAGGAGCGGTGGATGGAGGGAGGGATGGAGGGAGTGGTGGAGGGAGGGAGCGGTGGATGGATGGATGGAGGGAGGGTGGATGGATAGAGGGAGGGATGGATGGATGGAGGGAGGGAGCGGTGGAGGGAGGGAGCGGTGGATGGATAGAGGGAGGGTGGATGGAGGGAGGAGGGTGGAGGGAGGGAGGGAGCGGTGGATGGATGGATGGAGGGAGCGGTGGATGGAGGGATGGATGGAGGGGTGGATGGATGGATGGAGGGAGGGTGGATGGAGGGGTGGATGGATGGAGGGAGGGCTGATGGAGGGATGGAGGGGTGGATGGAGGGAGGGTGGATGGAGGGAGGGAGGGATGGAGGGAGGGAGCGGTGGATGGATAGAGGGAGGGTGGATGGAGGGAGGGATGGAGGGAGGGAGGGAGGGTGGAGGGAGGGAGCGGTGGATGGATGGATGGAGGGAGGGTGGATGGATAGAGGGAGGGATGGATGGATGGAGGGAGGGAGGGATGGAGGAGGGTGGAGGGAGGGTGGATGGAGGGAGCGGTGGATGGATGGATGGAGGGAGGGTGGATGGATAGAGGGAGGGTGGATGGATGGAGGGAGGGAGGGATGGAGGGAGGGAGCGGTGGATGGATAGAGGGAGGGTGGATGGAGGGAGGGATGGAGGGAGGAGGGAGGGTGGATGGATAGAGGGAGGGATGGATGGATGGAGGGGGGAGGGATGGAGGGAGGGGGATGGAGGGAGGGAGGGGAGGGTGGAGGGAGGGAGGGAGGGATGGATGGATGGAGGGAGGGAGGGATGGAGGGGAGGTGGATGGAGGGAGGGATGGAGGGAGGGAGGGTGGAGGGAGGGAGGGAGGGAGGG